GCAGCCCTTGCTGCTGCCTCGTCATGCTGGCGCTGTTGTTCAAGTGCCAGCAGACGTGCCTGCTCTGCATCTTCCGCCTTCTTCTTCGCTGCTGCTGCAGCGTCATCTGCCCGTTTCTTAGTCTCCGCACTCCAGGCCAGCATGCGGGCCTCATAGGCCTCGTCCGCTTCTCCGGGCCTCTGGTCCATGACTGTTGTTTGAGATCTCAACAGCATAGACCGGTTGGGGCCTGCTGATAAGGTATCCCTTGCTGCTGACGTGGCTCTGCTGATGTGTCCTGCTGACGTGGCCTGCTGACGTGTCCTGCTGACGTGGCAACTCACCAATGCCGCCGCAGGGGGTACCCGGATTCAAATAGAAACGGTAAGGCGAGAGATAGCAACAACATAGGTGGGGAGGGGTGGGTGGGATAATCGCCCAACTCACACTTCGGTAAGGAGCCACTAATCAAAACAGAAAAGTTTGAACTTTGCAAAAAAATTTTGAAAAAATAAAAATCCCGATTTTTGCAAGTTCGGTAGGTCCCCTAACCTCCCTTGAAGTACGAAATGATCACTGAAAGCGAAAAAGATTTCGACTTTATACTGCAAATGATTGATATGACTGAACGACAGAATCCCCGAACTGCGAAAAAAATTCCGAACCGAAATGACAAATATTCGGATTTATTCCGATAAGGATATTCACAGTTTGAAAATAATACCGCGGGAGAGTTTTCCCGTACCGTTTTTCAGAAACACAAATTTCAGAAAAGACAATATTCCGAATTCCTAAGTATCGGGAGATATTTCCCGTACCGTTTTCAAGAAAACGAATTTCAGAAAAGACAATATTCTGAATTTCCAAGTATCGGGAAATGCAACAGGAAATCGAAACATTCGAAAAGAAAAATATTCCGGATTTTCAACAACGAAATTTTGAATTTTCAGAAAAAGACGAAAATGAAAATTTCAGATGTTGCGATATTGCAATTTTCCAACAGAATAGCGAGAAAAATAAAATCCGAGAAAAAATTTTGATTTTCGGTAGTAAGGTCAAGATCGTGATTTTGGGGTCTAACTAGTATGTCCTAATCAATCGGAAAAGACTACCTAGCTCTTTAGTCCCCGCACACGTGTCAGATCAGGTAGTCCTCATTCACGTGCAAAGCTCCGATACCAATTGTTACATGCACAGATATGTGATGTTTGTAATAACCGAGGAACTGCAATGTGACGAAAAGGACTGAAATGGACAATGCGGTGAGAGTAGAATCTC